AGTGTATGTAAACTTCTGACCCACTGGAATTGTGATACAGTGATTTATAAGTGAAATAATCTGTCTGTAAACAATTGTTGTACAAATTACTTGTCATGCACAAAGTACATGTCCTAGCCTACTTGCCAAAACTATAGTTTGTTAACAAGAAATTTGTGGAGTGGTTGAAAAACGAGTTTTAATGACTCCAACCTATTTGTATGTAAACTTCCGACTTCAACTGTAAATGCCTCATGTGCTTAGTTCAACCATTATACCCCATCAGAACCCAAAATATAAGCTTGTTTTACTCCAATTTTGTAAAGAAAGTACATGTAAATAAGCACTATATAGCAACAAAACATGGTTAAAACTATCATTTTGATACCAGGGATTGTCAGTCCTTGCATCCATACAGAGCCTTGCAAAAGTATTTATCCCCCTTGGCATTTTTTCCTATTTTGTTATTACAACCTGTAATTTAAATGGATTTTTATTTGGATTTCATGTAACGTGAAATGAAAAAAATAACATGTTTCAAACATTTCAAAAAAATAAATAACGGAAAAGGTGTGTGTGCATAAGTATTCACCCCCTTTGCTATGAAGCCCCTAAATAAGATCTGGTGCAACCAATTACCTTCAGAAGTCACATAATTAGTTAAATAAAGTCCACCTGTGTGCAATCTAAGTGTCACATGATCTGTCACATGATCTCAGTATATATACACCTGTTCTGAAAGGCCCCAGAGTCTGCAACACCACTAAGCAAGGGGCATCACCAAGCAAGCGGCACCATGAAGACCAAGGAGCTCTCCAAACAGGTCAGAGTCAAAGTTGTGGAGAAGTACAGATCAGGGTTGGGTTATGAAAAAATATCAGAAACTTTTAACATCCCACGGAGCACCATTAAATCCATTATTAAAAAATTGAAAGAATATGGCACCACAACAAACCTGCCAAGAGAGGGCCGCCCACCAAAACGCACGGACCAGGCAAGGAGGGCATTAATCAGAGAGGCAACAAAGAGACTAAAGATAACCCTGAAGGAGCTGCAAAGCTCCACAGCGGAGATTGGAGTATCTGTCCATAGGACCACTTTAAGCCATACACTCCACAGAGCTGGGCTTTACGGAAGAGTGGCCAGAAAAAAAGCCATTGCTTAAAGAAAACAATAAGCATTTGGTGTTCGCCAAAAGGTATGTAGGAGACTCTCCAAACATATAGAAGAAGGTACTCTGGTCAGATGAGACTAAAATTGAGCTTTTTGGCCATCAAGGAAAACGCTATGTCTGGCGCAAACCCAACACCCCGAGAATACCATCCCCACAGTGAAGCATGGTGGTGCCAGCATCATGCTGTGGGGATGTTTTTCATCGGCAGGGACTGGGAAACTGGTCAGAATTGAAGGAATGATGGATGGCGCTAAATACAGGGAAATTCTTGAGGTAAACCTGTTTCAGTCTTCCAGAGATTTGAGACTGGGATGGAGGTTCACCTTCCAGCAGGACAATGATCCTTAGCATACTGCTAAAGCAACACTTGAGTGGTTTAAGGGTAAACATTTAAATGTGTTGGAATGGCCTAGTCAAAGACCAGACCTCAATCCAATGGAGAATCTGTGGTATGACTTAAAGATTGCTGTACACCAGCGGAACCTATGGGCAAAAATCCCAGTGGCTAGATGTGCCAAGCTTAAAGAGACATACCCCAAGAGACTTGCAGCTGTAATTGCTGCAAAAGGTAGCTCTACAAAGTATTGACTTTTTTTTTTTGGGGGGGGGGGGGGGGTGAATAGTTATGCACACTCATGTTTTCTGTTGTTTTGTCTTATTTCTTGTTTGTTTCACCCCAAAAATGATTTTGCATCTTCAAAGTGGTAGGCATGTTGTGTAGATCAAATGGGGGGGGGGGGGATACTTTCACAAGGCACTGTAGCTCCATATTTGAATTTGAGAGTGGTTATATTTCTCTAGCTCCATCCCTCAGATTTTTACTGAAACGGGAGGGGAGGACGCTTTGGTATTGTTTCATCTGCTGATTGTCACTTTAAGTATGTCTGGAAATGCTGTAGGAATCCCAGCCCAGATTAACACACTGAAGTGATCAATGCATCAACACGACACAAAAGCTGCAATGTTGAGAATATGCCAAGGGCAGGTTAGAGTTGTCTGAGGTCATTGGTAAAACTACATTCAGAATAGTTATGTTTGTGTTAGCACATTTGCTTTACAACTTATACTTGTACTTATTTTGCTTGTTTTCAAACAATCAAATTAATGAACAGGAAATCATAAAGTAAGAGAGTTCAAATAATTAACTATTTCTTGGGAGGGTGGTTTTGTGAACCTGTCACCATCTCTTGGTAGCAATACATTTTATGGTATGTAATATTTTATAAATACAACCTAATGTTTTTGTCACGATCGTTGAACGGAGTGGACCAAGGCGCAGCGTGATGAGCGAACATACTTTTATCAATAGTGATAACAAGAACAAAACGATAACGACACGTGAAGTCCTTGGCTACAAAATAAACCAACACGGAACAAGATCCCACAACTACTATGGGAAAACAGCCTGTTTAAATGTGGTTCCCAATCAGAGACAACCAGCAACAGCTGACACTCGTTGCCTCTGATTGAGAACCACTCTGGCCAACATAGAAATAGAACAACTAGACTAATTAACATAGAACACAAAACACATAGAATCTACACACCCTGGCTCAACATATAGAGTCCCCAGAGCCAGGGTGTGACAGTTTTGTCAAAGTTACAAATAAAATGAACAATCAGTGGATATAACCTTCCCTGTGGCTAACTTGGCTATGCACCACAAAATGGAGGTCCACTCGTAAGAACTATAGAGCTGAACCTAACCAGATCCAGACCGTTACATCAACATTTTGGGATTTGTTTGTGCATTTCCCCCATGGATTTGATTTCCCTCAGCTTTTTACATGGTACCATATGTAAATTGATGGATTACTAGCTCCTTTCACTGAGGTCAAACATCCCTGAAATAACTGAGCTTTAGAGCCAAGACCGGAGACCGGTTTCTCAAATTGTTCCAAGAACGTTAAGAAACAACGTTTATCTATGGGAATTTCAGTACTTCAGCATAACGTTTCCAACAGGTTTCATCATGATTCTATTTAAAGTCATGTTCTCAAATTGTTCCGAGAACGTTACAATTTTCCATAAAAACCACACGAAAACTTGAGTAAATCTCAGAGAACGTTTAAAGAATGTTATTTAAAAACATATACATTCCGTTCTCAGCATCAACAAAATGCTCTATATCCTCTATCTTGTTAAGTATGTTCAGGTGTGTTGGCCACGCCCACAAATTTTCCTTTGAAATGGGGTCTGTGTGAATAGACTAAAATAAACAGGTTTCTATGCGTAAAAACACATGGCATGTTAGCTCCATCCTGGTGGCTCAGTGGACTAATTCCATGGATAAAGAACAGAAGATTATAGGTTGAAATCTTACTGATTCATGTCACAATAAACATGTTTGCATGATTAATGCCTAAAGAAAGGAATTTCCATGTGTCCCATCTGTGCTTTGAGTTAAAAAAGTTAACCCAAAATATGCTAGCAGTGTTATTAAGTCTTATTGAAACATTCAGTGAAAGTTTTAAAGGCAGTTATTCAAAAAACGTTTTCAGAGCGTATAAACCTCCCAGCAAAACTTTCAAGGAACCAGAGTAAAACATTCTCAGAACCTCCCTGCAACCTAAAAATAAACATTCCCAGAACAGGCAACATTTTTACTTCTGTTCTCAGAACATTTAAAAAATGTAAAGTTTTACTGGTAAGGAAACGTATGGCTTCATTCCCACAACGAATGTGAAACCAAAAACATACGTTCCCACAACTTCCAAGGAACCAAATGTGCAAGCTGGGTAAGATGTACCTGTGGATTGTTCAACATGAAGGGACCATTTAGATAAATACTTTAATGCTGTGCTAAGTGTTTATCAAGATTAATTTTAACACAGAGCTTTGTCCATTCATGATAGACTTGACTAGTTTCCAGATAAAGGGAGTTGGCAATCTCTTTGTTTTTACACTGCCATGCGTTATCTCATCGTGGAAGTTCTGATTTGTATCTCTAGCTACTGCCAACTATTTACCTTCTTAATGCAGAACACGGTCTTCCTATTTCAGAGTTGCCAAGAAGATGGAGGTGAACCTTTTGGCCTCTAGGAAATTGCTAAGTATTTGCCAAAAGATTACTGATGAGTCCTATTTGGTCATGTTGCTTAATACTTTTCTCCTTGCACAATCGTTGTTACAGGGTTCATAGATTTCAAGCTGGCAGGACTTTTGTAAAGCTGTGTCTGACTAAATAATAAATGGGCATATCAAAAACCTTTTTATGGGTATCTAAATGTATTTGTATCAATGTATTTGTGTACAATATAATCCAATAGCTTTTAATGATAGCAGTTACTGCAAACTGAGTATAAAAATAGTACATAGGAACTATTATGCCATTTATCACTGTAGAGTTTTGATTTAAAACATCTAAATATATTTCATACAGATGAAGGATCTTAATTTGATCACTCAAGGTTTAAAAAGGCTTCAATTTGTTGTAATTTCCACTTTAAAATGTCAGACTTGATTTGCCCTAATGAAAAATATATGCATTGTCAATACATTCATTTAGAACATAGGCCACTTACTGTATCAATAAGCAATACAAAACTTACATTATTAAGCTTTACTTGAACATATTTCTAATTGTGGATTTGCTTGACAAAAAAGGCCTCTAGCACTATATTGTCAATACATTCATTTACAATTTGAATTTGTTGACATCAATATGCAAAAATGTGAAACTATTACAATTCAAAGCTTTCAATGCAAAATATTTATAAATCCTATAAAATGTATAAATGTATAAAACTATAGGTGATAAGTGAGACAGATCTATGAGTATAGCAATATGTTGCTTTGCAGAGATTTCGTAACAAGGCTTCTGGAGTGTAGGCTCAGGGTGGGTCTTCTATTTGCCGATGATGACGTTCCTGTAGCCCTTGACGTGACACAGCTTATTGCTGTCGAAGTCGACCACCAGTTTCCTCAGGCCCGAGTGGGTGGGCGTGAAGTAGATTTTGACCTTGGCATCCTGCCCGGGTTCCACCGTGGAGTTAAGTCTAAGGAGGGTAAATATTTAGAAGTTACTCAATCTACATCCACTCTAACACTATCACACTACATTCCCAGCATAAATGTTTAGACAGTTTATTATTTTTAATGAAATGTCTTAAATGGATGTCTTTAGCTACAGATATAGGATCTTAATTTGATCACTCTTTTGTTGCTGAGACTTTTCCTGCACAGCAGGAAATGCAAACCTGTAGTGTATTTGAGTTAAAGGCTTCCCCTACAAAAAATATCCATTAATTATAATCCACATAATAATTCACATTTCCTGTTGCAGCAGGATTATTCTCCTCAAGTAGCAAACTGGCGAAAATGTAGATCCTACATCTGTAGTGTGATTGTAATGATTTTTCTGAGTTGACTAGCAAGGACTGTGTATGTATTGCATCAGCCATAGTTATCTTCATAGAAATATGTCTGAACTAGAAATCACTTTGGATTAAAGCATCTGCTAAATAACCATATTATATTATAGGATATGTAATTCTGTTGTAGAAGCTCGTCAAACTCATTCAAAAATGTCTTTATGATCAAATCCATTCATATTCTCTGCCTGTAGGCAGTCGTTTCAATTGCGTAACACCACATTGAGCCAAACATCTAGGAGTTACATGCCAACCAAACCCACAACTCATCACAACCATCCGAATGCTTGGAAAACCAACTCTGACAAAACGATACTCTCACAATCAAATGATTTTATAAATACTGAATAAATCCAGACAAACATTCACAACCTGGTGAAACAGTCAGCTTTCGTCTAGCCAACTTCCTAGTCTTTGATGTGAAAGTGTTCGTTTTCAAATCCAAAACATTTTTTGAGAAGATTCATTAAATTGTGGTCTTGGCAAAACTCTTGGATAGTTAAAGTGTGCTTGAATTGTAAATGGCTGGGATTTCAGTATCCCACTTAGCCCTAATAAGGATTTGAGTCTGCTTTTGACATGTAAGCACTATTGTGAGTCTGCTACAAAACATAAATTTCCCTTGTCATGAACCCCTCCAACTCTACCAAAGCATGGACATGCACCACTTGGTGACTAAAACATGATTGATTATATGTGTATGAATTATACATATGCTTATAGACATCCCTGACAAACTTTAAAATGGCATTGTTGCTTAGAACCTTACTAATAGGTCCTATTTACACAATAGCACTCCTGTTGTTACTTTTAGCGGTAAATGCACTTAATCTGTAGTCAGTCCTGTTTGGAAATAGATGTCACCCTGTCTTCCCTCCCTCCTACCTCTCAGTGATGATCTGTCCTCCAGTGAGATTGGACCCCTCCACGGTGAAGCAGCAGTTCTGCAGTGGTACTGGGAGAGGGTTCTGCAGGGTGATCTCAGCCGCCAGCTTACGGTTCTCTTTGGGCTCCCCAAGGATCTATAGATCAGGGAACATATCTTAATGCTTTGACACAGTGCATTTCATCGGCTAGGCAAACATGGAGAACGCTCCATCTCTGATAATCACACTCAAGCTTGCAATAAGTATGGTTTATGCTTATTACTTTTAACTACTACATCACTCATGTTAATCACTATATTGTTGTGTTTTGTAAAGTGTTAAAGTAGTGACAGTAGTGGCCGTACCCTGACTTTGATCTCTGGGTTAACCAGTACGACGTCCCTCACAGAGAGGTAGGACTTTTGGGTATCGTAGTCTAGGAGCAGAGCCGCCAGCCGGATCATGTTGTCCTCAGTGAGGTTCTCTGCATACTTGGAGTAGTTCATCCTCAGAGCAACCCGCTTTTCTGGAGTGAGACATAAAGCAGAGAAAGTGAGACACCACACAATTTCTCAGATGTTGACACATGTTGACATAAGCAGATACATAAAACACTGGACAGTATGATTTCAATGCACACAGACACACATTCACGATTAGCAGAGTACCACGACCTCAGCAGAGTACAATGAAATAACATGAAAAGATAAATCCATAAACGGTCTTAAACTCTAAATGAGCCACGTGTAAATTATAATAATACAGTATATCACACTCACATATATATACACAAAACTTTCCATTATACAAAGCCAACTGACCTTCTCCAGGTGCCAACTGTACGTTGAGCAGGTCTTTGAACCCACAGTTCTCTCCCAGAATACCGTTGTAGGACACAGCTCTGGAGCCGAACACCAGACGGCACCTCTTCTCATTGGGCGTGTTGTTTGTAATCACGGCAAACACGTCAAAGTCACACCCCTTTCTCATGTCCGTGGAAACCTTGATGACGATAAGCAGGCCAGCATTGTCTTGCTGCTGCAGTAGTTTGTTCTGGTGGTTGGCTTTTGTAAAGGCCTCCCTTTCCCCGTCAGAACCTGGGGGGCACAGAAAGCAAAGGTTATACATGCTTTCATATACTGTAAATTAACTCTGACAAATTCTGATACATTTTGGGAAGAATAAGAACTTGTTTCCAGAGTAGTCTATAGTGAACTTCACCATATATTTCTTATGTTGAAGCGCCATACATTATCTGAGTGTACATATAGTGAACAGACTACTACAAATACGTAAGAAAGAATGTGACATTCCTTTCTGCTGTCTTGGTGGCATTTCGTGGTGTAATGTGACATTGGTGTGTCCTGGTGGCATTTTACAGTGGTGTGTTTGCTAATGTGTACATTTTCAGGCAGTTGTGTCACATATCATCAACCACAAGCTTCCCCTGCTTCCCACCTCTCCTTCCCCTTCTTCTATCCCCCCTCTCAACCTGGTTTTCACTACAACCTGGTCAGCACTTGTCTGACTATTGGTTACCCTACACAATAGTATGGTAGCCATGCCTGGCCCTATTGCCACGCTGCAAATGTTTTATCACGGTGGGTAAGTGTTGGGGCTCCTTATTTTCTGTCGTAGTGAAGCTCCCTACCCTCAGGGTACTTGTATAGGTGTGTGATGTCCTCTCTCTTATCACTGCCCACGCTCTTAGTGCTGATCTTCAGGCCCACATTGACGGAGTTGATGATCCTCTCCGTGCTGCCATCTTTGCGCTTCATAAAGGTGTGCACGTCAGCGTTGACCTCCGCGAACACAAATGGGGCGTCATATTTATAGGTGAGCTCGCCCTCCTTGATGGCTTTCAGTGGGATAGGGCCACAGCAGTAAACTCCTGAAAGAAGGATAATCTGTGAGCGAACTGAAAATTACATGTTTCTATGACGTATCTGAAGCCATATCTTTATCACTTGTAGTAAAATATGATGATTAGCAATTCAGTAGTTTCTACACCAGATCTCCAAGACTCAATTTGAATGGTATCAGTGGAATCAATACACATATGAATTGGGGTCAGGCCCTTTTATGGGCTATTCTGAAATTGTTGAGATTATTGTAGTTGGGGTTATTGTAGTTGGGATTATTGTAGTTGGGATTATTCTCAATACCATCTAGGCCTCACCTTCACTCTTCTCTTGTGGTGTGGGGTCCATGGCCTGCCAGCCGTCAAAACCGGGTTTGAGGTCAGGTCTGGTCATCCAGTTCTCGACCCAGCAGTGGTAGTTCCTACAAAGACACACAACCATAGTAACCCCTTAACCATTTCCAGATTGCTGTCTGGTACAAGAGAAGGACATTTGCTCATATACCCAACCTCCGGAATGCCTTGACTATTTCCTGATTGTTGGCAAAAAAGCATGAGTAAATTGTACATGAGCAAATACGTGGCAGAAAAAAAGTGGATCATTCACTTTTGTAGACTTAATGTTAATCCCAAGACATTTTATCTATACTAGGACAAACAGTATTTTCTGACAATATACTGTAAAACATCTGCTAGCTCTGTGTTGAATTTGTTTGAGTGGAAATCCATCAATTTGATAGTCCTCTTGAGGTCTCACCATATCATGTCTCTGGACTTCTGAACAAGTTGTCCGTTCTCATCCACGTAGCGCTCTATCACCAGGTTACTGTTGGTGTCATGGGCTGAATTGTAGTTGGTGACCAGTCGACAAGGGATGCCCAGGGCTCGTGAAACTGAGAGGGCACATAAATAACATACAGTTAGCCAATACTACTCATCAACTATTCTACTACAGGTCTAACATATGGCATTATAAATACATCATACACAAGTATATATTTTACAGTTAGGTCATTTAGCAGACACTCTTATCCAGAGTGACTAACAGGAACAATTTGGGTAAAGTTGCTCAAGAGGACACCTAGTTGGCTCGGGGATCAAACCAGCAACTTTTTGGTTACTGTCCCAACGCTCTTAACCACTAGGCTACCTGCCCCCCTATTCATAGAATGTGTTACTAAAGGTGTCTTGTGCAATACAAAAAGGGGACAGAATGTATCTTACATAATATAACGACAAAGTATGTAAAAAAACACAGTCTTAATTTCTATGCGTTCATGTCTAACCTGAGCAGGCCACTGCTGCAAACACCCAGCATTGGCCAAAGCGCACAGGTTGACATGCATTTGTGTCCCAGTTCCGGAGGATCGCCACACTGCCCTTCCATGACAGAGGGCTCACCCCGCCGTCATAGTTATCAGTCCACCTGCCCAGCAACACTCCCTTGTCGTCATTGCAGTTCACCTGATGGACATGGACAGCAATGGTCAGGCTCTTCATTTCACATTCAGCTTTGTTGTTATATTGAGCAATGCCTTTTAACATCTACTATATGTTAAAGTGTATATTTTATATTCTATTCTACTGTATGAACTGCAGTGTGTAATGGGAAACCGATTGATGTGATCTCACCATGGCACTGAGGACTCTGGACACATAGATTGGGTTCCTCCTCCCGGAAGCGTCTTTCCCAGGGTTACGCAGGCACTTCGGGTTCATATCCAGGATTCTCAGACAGGCATCCAGGATCCCATCCTCAAACTACACCACACAGAGAAAAACACACAAGGTCAAATCAACCCGCTATTTATTTTCGAAAGGGAACTAAGCATGCAAAGGCGAGCAAAAGGTCAAATAAAGATCAAAGGATTAGAAGTTTGCTTCTCGTCTTAGATTCCCTCCTGCAAATATAATGTGCAAACGTTTAGTAAAGCTGAACGAAAGTCACATGCATAAACAGTATGCACAATATGCAACTATGACACACACCAATTAGATACTGAGCTGTATCAACAATTGAATCTCGGTCTCACCATCTCACAGTGGGATTATCATGATCTGTCAATTATACACTGATTGAAACCAATGGAAGCGTCTTGATGTGGAAAGCGAATAGCCTCAATTGGATTTTACCAGTCAACAGTTAATCCATCACAAGTTCTGCTGAACCATAATTTATCTCACTTTATCAAACTCATACAGATGTAGGATCTTAATTTGAGCCAGTTTCCTACAGCAGGAGAATTTATCCTGCAGCAACAGGAAATGTGAATTATTAGTTGGATTATAATTATTGGACATTTTTGTAGGGGTTGATAATTTATTTCGTAAGAAAAAAGTGGAAATTACAGGAAGGTTCTCCTGCAACAGGGTGAACAAATTAAGATCCTACATCTCTAAATATACAGTATACTATGAGGCAGCATGATCTCCCCTTTAAAAGTGCACAGTACAGTAGTTACATTGGAAATAAGTTCAACATACATCTCTTGATGAATGGCTATTTCTCCCTTCTCAGACAAATTCAAAAGCCTTTATCACTGCCACCGCCAAATTCTGGTTTGTCTCTCCTCAAGGAGGCTGTTTCTAAAACGATCAGCTGATAGAGTTGTGCTGCTGTTGGTACCTGGCCATAGTTCCAAGGTGTAGGGATGGGGTACTTCCAGCCGCCTCGGTAGATGATACCATCTTGAGCCAAGATGTACTCCGCCAGTTTCTCCTCACTGTCCATGTACACCACATCGCCTGTTGCCAAGAGACATAAATAATACAGGGATAAAGTATCGTCCTCCATAGAAAAGGACAAGCTCATTATCTGCTTGCAGTAGGAAACAGTATTTAAAAATGCATAGGGCTTATTAAATTGCTATTTTTTTTTCAATATAACTTTCTATGATACATGTATGGTAGAACTGATTCTATTAAAGGCACTCCAGGATTTTAAGCACAACAAATTCGTAACATATAGTACGAATTGGAATTGTAACATATAATACGAATTGCAAAAACATAAAACATATATTTATTTATTTTTGCAGGATGTAACATATAATATGGAGTAGATGATGTAGTAAGCAATTTGATGACGTAGTACACAAAAAATGGGGACCACTTTTGGCTCGTGAGCACCACTTTCAAATCTACTGGCTGAAATTATACAAATGTTTGAGAGTGCATCTTTAATGAGACTAGCTGCTGTCTATTTACTTTGATGTCTAGGGTGACAAAATGTCTAAGTGTAACATGTATTGTAGATACAGCACATGATAGGGCTAAACATTTAGAGATACTGGAAAATACTTATCCATCCCCATCGATCCCATTCTCCATGTATGATCATCATATCCTCTCCCAAACTACCATCCATCCATCCATCCATCCATACCATCCATCCATCCATCCATCCTGTTCTCCCCACTGTGTGATCCCTGTAAGCCTGCATCTCTCCATTGGTCATGCTGGCTGTCTTTGTAACAGAGACATCTAATGTGCCTACCAGAGTCCAAAATGTGTACGCATATATGTTCTAAAATACTGGACTGTTGGCTTTCATACTTTTCAAATTCTCAGCACGGCTCAAGCAATTTGTCCATCTGTCAACACATTCCGCATAGCTATGTCCGGTCTCTGCGTCTCTGCATCTGTGAATTACTCTTAAGGCATTCCACTCAACTATGCATAGGTCCTACTACACTCGCAGACAGCATGACGTATGGAATGTTTACCCACCGGGGCACCAGGGGTTATAGAGCAGCACAAACTCCACCCTGCCCCCCTGACCCAAGGTCAGGCGCCAGCGTCCGATGGGCGCGTCCGGGGGGGAACAGATGGACAGGGACACCATGTTCCCGGGGGGACTGGTGACGGCGGCGCTCCAGCGGGAGGTGTTGATTTGGTCGGTCAGCCCAAAGGAGGCCTGTGTACCATACTGGTCAGAGGGCTGGGGACCTAGAAGAGGACATGAAGAAGAGAAAGGGTTAACGATGGAACGCTTGGCTAGGGATGATGTAAAACACTATAACTTGCCTACTTTTTACCATTGGAGGGAAAGTAATATTGCCCATAGCTATTCTGTCATTCTTTGTCATGAGATCTGTGTCAACGGATCTCAATAGTCTAAAGTGGGGTTTTAAATAGGCCTCGACAGTAATCATGACCTCGACAGAAGTTGCTGTCCTTTATAAGAATTAGGTTCTTTACTGTATCATGAAAAATATGAAGCACACAGATGCTTTCAGGTCACACATGAAACATTTTAAAAATTCTGATTGTACAATTCACATACTATTCCCAAACCCTTCAGCGGAGAACATTGTAAAATGGTGGACAATTCCACAGGGATCAAATACGATGGAAACTCAGCTTCCTTCAGTGACCTCCGTTAAGATCGGAGGGCAGATAAACTGCCTGAACTGAAATTCCATTGTGTTCAGACTGGGCATAACGCCAGAGTCACCCCTTTTAACTCCTTTGCTTTCAGCAGAGGGCTGAACCAAGTTAGATTCCTCCCTTGGCTGTTCTGTGTATTAACGTTTATATTACAGCCCATTAAAAAATAGTTGAACTTTCACGGTGATACCATTATCTTTGATAGGACATATGCTTTCCTGTGGCGTGATCCTCTTCCTGTTCTCAAACCGTTGGATACTGTAGAAACTGCGGTGGTCTGTACAATGGGCACTCCACCCCTCTTATGACACTGTAACTTACATCTGACACAATCTTAATTAAAACACCAGATCATTTCAGTGTTTTCCCTTAGATATTTCCAAAGGCGGGACACAAAGGGTCCCAAACACAACATCTACGGTTCCTGACAAACAGAACCGAAGACTGGGCAGGTTGAGTAATGGTAGAGGAGGCAGGGTAGAGTGTCAGCTAACTATTCTGCAAGAGTCAATAGTGTTATCACTGAAAATTGGAGCAGGCTAAAACAGTTTCCCTTTCCTTGAAACAACATTAGACCTCAACATCAGCTTTTCTTCCTCCTTATCACTTTTTAGATCACAATGTAGAAGCCAAAATGTCAAGGTAGAGACAAATGGCAAAACATGCCTTAGATTTTAGGGGGTTAAAACAATAGAAAAATAGAGCGCAGAGTCTGTTGTTATAGTGTTACACACTATGCAGCAGCACATGCATGAGGTATTTTCAAACTTGCAGGGAAGTTAAGATTTAGACTTGAGATTTATCGGTCATAGCCCAATAGACTGTGTTTTCTTTCAATCAAGGAAGAATTTAAGCAGGTATTCACTTGAGCTATTCAATAAGTCTGTCACGCCCTGGCTCTGGGGACTCTTAAATGTTGAGCCAGGGTGTGGATTTTTCTATGTTTAGTTTTCTATGTTTTTGTTCTAGATCGTTTAGATCTATGTTGGCCAGGGTGGTTCCCAATCAGAGGCAGCTGTAGCTCGTTGTCTCTGATTGGGGACCATACTTAGGCAGCCTGTTGGCACCAGTTAGTTGGTGGGATCTTGTTCCGTTTGGTTTGTTGTGTATAACCTAGGACTTCACGTATTGTGTGTTTGTTGTTTTTTGTTAGTGTAAGTACAATTAAAGTATGTACGCTTATCACGCTGCGCCTTGGTCCGTGTCTTCAGTCAACGATCGTGACAAAGTCCTCATGGGAAAGATTTTGGGACTGGGTTTCTGTTAAAATTTTTGAGCAGATAATGGAAAGCATTCTTTTACTGGGTCGTGTCTGCCAGGAAATGTTAAAGGTACCACGACAATGCCTAATTGTGTGTTTCTATTGGCATTAGGAACTTGTTTATTTTCTCCAATGTTGTTTATTTTCTCCAAAAGCGATAGGGAGGAAGAAAAGCTAATGTTGAGGTCTAATGTTGTTTAGAGGAAAGGGAAACTATTTGATCCTGCTCCAATTACCAGTGATAACACTATTGACTCTTACAGAACAGTTAGATAGCTGACACTCTACCCTGCCTCCTCTACAATTACTTACCCTGCCCAGGCTTCGGTTTCTGTTGTCAGGAACCGTAGATGTTGCTTTTGGGACCATTTGCATCCTGCCTTTGGAAATATCTAGGGGAAACACTGAAATGATCTTATGTTTTAATTAAGATTAACCTATAGGATTTAATAAAAATTAAACAACATTTATCTAGTGCCTTTCACATTGAATTGATTAGTCGACAACCCAGGGATAACACAGTACCGGTCTCTACGGCGAGGTCGAGGGCACTGCCACCAGGCTGGTAGTCGCCTGAGCGGAGGTGCAGGTTGATGGTGAACGGCTGGCCCCTTCTCACGATAAGGCGCTCCACCCCGTTGAGCTCCGTGCGGTGGTCTGTGTTGTTGAACTCACACTCCAGGTCCCATCGGGCAATGTCCAGTGCTGGGAGATGGATGAGAGAGAGAAAGGACATAGTGAGTAGAATTACCTCAGGATTGACCTCTAAACATCTACCCAGCCAGTTACAAGGGAATAGAATCCTGATCTACAGTTCCTCTGTTTGCTCTTTGGGGGTGTCAGTCCAGTCTTCAGTATAGTAAGGTCAAATATGATTTCATCGATTTGATAGATAGTCTTCTCTTTTTATGGTGCCTCAGTGGTGGACCAAACACCCCCATTGCTTTTAAGACAATTGTGTCTATAACTGTTTTTAGGTAGGCTTCTTCAAACTGGCTTCCCAACTCTAAACGCTGGTCCCTTCCAAGAAGACCACCCCTTCCTCTCACCGCCAATGGCACTACTACTTTGGAAATGTCTATAATAGTTGCTTTACATTGTATTGTAGCGTTTCAATACTGGTACTTCATTTTATTTTTAGCACTACAATGAAGTATTCTACTGACCTCTGAAGAGAGAGTTTCTTGTTTTTAAGCTAGCTGTCCAGCTCTTTGACTGTGTGCTTTTGCAGAAAGAGTGTCTGCTAAATGTCTGTTAACACTACAACCACTGGGCCTCAAGCTAACGAGCAGTCGTGCTGACTGCAACATTCTAACATTGTAATTAATACATTTCATATGCTATTGCAAAAATAATAATTTGGTTGTGTTTATGAAGGTCTTAGGAAACATTAGAATACAATATATATATTTTTAGAACACCATAGTATTTTCATTAGTTTATGTTACTGTAGGATATACTGTATGTAAAAACAAAAAAACACAACATTTCATATGTTCAATGAATTTGATTTGGGGAATGCCTTTGTTACAACTATGACACACAAGGCATATGTGTTGGAACACAGCAACAGCTTATTTTTATAACAACAAAATAAATAAAATACCCCAACCACAAAGACGGACGGTCAGCAAGACCGTAGCCTAAACATCATTTTAAGTGCCAAGTGTCAAGGACGGAGGGGGTAATACATTTTTTTAAATTCATGAGCTGTCAAAATGACTGCTTTAGCAGTTTTAGATTTTGAGAAAATGTACATACATTATGGTATAGTAAAGAGGCCACATGAAATCCTATTAATAAGTGTGTAGCCTATACAATAAAACGTATGCATGGCTAAATCATTAAGAGTGTCTGAATTCATTTTTGGTAAATAGGCCACAGACAAATGGTTAAAAGACTGCTGCAAATTGTTTTTCCAGACATTTTCAGACCCTTTTCCAGCTTATCTCTGGCAGCAGGCTTGAATCCAAGGACTTTCATTGTAATTTAAACTTACTGTAAGAGTTCTCTTCCTGTTATTGAGTGGAAAGAGAAACACTTTACCTGTTGTGTAACAGAAAGACTTGTATTGCATTAAAAGTCAGACAGGAAATGCTGCTTTGCAAATAACTATCTTGGTAACTATATTTACTCAAGTACCACTAGCGGGTGAATACTACACCAACCCATTTAGACACAGACTTGAACCCTTTCATTGATTCATTTAAAGAAGGGAAGTATTTCACAAGAGCGAAAACAAGAAAACATGAATGAGTTAGTGTTCTGTCACTCCCTGCAAGTAAATACTGTACTCCTCCTTCTCCCCAGGACTCGGTATGTGAATAAGATCCCACCCTCTGATTTCCTATTTACAGTCATCCTGCTTCTTTAAGACAAGACTGGTTGTTGTTAAATAATCCTGGCAGGAGAAAATGACATGAAAACTAAATGTGAGGTGACAAAGGTTATGCCCAAACTCCTGGAAAAAAAGGGTTCCAAAAGGGTTCTTCGGCTGTCCCAATAGGAGAACCCTTTTTGGTTCCAGGTAGAACCTTTTTCGGTTCCTGAAAGGGTTCTACATGGAACACAAAGGGTTCTACCTGGAACCAACAGGGTTTTCAAAGGGTTCTCCTATGGGACAGCCGACAAACCTTTATTGGTTCTAGACGGCACCTTTTTTTCTAAGAGTGCACATAACAACAAACACTGACTGTCTTCTTCTAATGCCTCTTAAGGGAAAAGTAATCCAAAGGTAATTTAAAGTAATCCGATTATGTTAATGAGTTTGGGTAATCCAAAAGTTACATTACTGATTACAATTTTGGACAGGTAACTAGTAACTAACAGATTACATTTAAAAAGTAACCAACCCAACCCTGACTACATATATGACAAATCAGTTTCTGTAGGACCATCTGAATAGTGTATCTTTTACATTTGACCAACCGTGGGGAATTGTGCATGTGTTTTACACCTTGTAGTTGAAGAAAAGTGGTCTTTCAAAGGAGACAAACTCCAGTCTCCAGTCCAACTCTTTCATCCTGAAGATAAATAAAGTTGGCAATAAGCCTATTTTACTCAGTCATAAAGTGGCTGGGAACTTGTGCTTTTGCACAGCTAGAGGCAACAGGACTTTAAACCTAGAATCTGGAGACCATTAGGCAGATTGATAGCAGATAAACAACCAAAACGTTGTTTTCGACAACACAGGCCAAACAACGCAGGCTCAATCAATGTAATGGTAAAGTCTAGTTATTGCTGCATTTCAGTCTCGTATTACACTGTTGGTATCAAATAAAATACATTTTTATTAACCACTCTCACATTGTGGAATGAAAGCTGATGTAAGAAAAGTGGAGTCTGAATTTAAATGGAAAAGTTTCTGTAATTAAGGTGTAGTTATTGTTGTTTTGCTTTGTTCTATTGCACTGGAAAGACAGCAATGTATTACAGTCTGTCACTAACATGAATAGTGCAAAAATGTATTAATGGACAGAGATCAAGGTGAGCTATGTGTGTAGGGGATGTGTGTTCCCATTTATGTGATCACATGCCCCCATTGAGCAGGCTACTACCATGAGGTCACCATCTCCACAATGCCATCACCCTAGGCTTACACTCCCTTGTTTTGCTTCCAGTCTACCAAACTTGAACAACACAACATCAAGGGTCCTGTTATAGGCCTAGCAGAACTTCAGGGCCAAAATAAACCCAATAAGGTTGCGGCAATGAAAGATCCTAGTCAGGGAAAATTGCACAGAAGCAGGTACAGTAAATCCCAGGAAAAAGACATACGTTCTCTCAGCTATTAAGAGCAACCTATCCAGCCTAGTCATGAATGAAGCCGCAAGAGCGCTCTAGAGAGAGAGAGAGAGAGAGAGAAGGAGAGTAGAGAGAGAGAGAGAGAGCGAGAGAGGAGAGAGAGAGAGAGAGAGAGAAAGAGAGAGATAGCAGATAAGAGCGTAGAGCGAGATAGATTCTCTCCGCTCTACGCTTCTATCTCTCTCGCTCTCTCTACGTCTCTCTCTCTCCTCTCGCGATCTATCTACTGCTCTCTCTATCTCTCTCTCTCTCTCTATCTCTCTCTCTCTCTCCTCTCTCTCTCTCCTCTTCTCTCTCTCTCTCTCTCTCAAACAATAGCATATACAGTGGGGAACATTTTTTATTTAGTCAGCCACCAATTGTGCAAGTTCTCCCACTTCAAAAGATGAGAGAGGCCTGTAATTTTCATCATAGGTACACGTCAACTATAACAGACAAATTGAGGAAAAAAAATCCAGAAAAATCACATTGTAGGATTTTTTTATGAATTTATTTGCAAATTATGGTGGAAAATAAGTATTGGTCACCTAACAACAAGCAAGATTTCTGGCTCTCACAGACCTGTAACTTCTTCATTTAAGAGGCTCCTCTGTCCTCCACTCGTTACCTGTATTAATGGCACCTGTTTGAACTTGTTATCAGTATAAAAGACACCTGTCCACAACCTCAAACAGTCACACTCCAAACTCCACTATGGCCAAGAGCTGTCAAAGGACACCAGGAACAAATTTGTAGACCTGCACCAGGCTGGGAAGACTGAATCTGCAATAGGTAAGCAGCTTGGTTTGAAGAAATCAACTGTGGGAGCAATTATTAGGAAATGGAAGACATACAAGACCACTGATAATCTCCCTCGATCTGGGGCCCCACGCTAGATCTCACCCCGTGGGGTCAAAATGATCACAAGAACGGTGAGCAAAAATCCCAGAACCACACGGGGGGACCTAGTGAATGACCTGCAGAGAGCTGGGACCAAAGTAACAAAGCCTACCATCAGTAACACACTACGCCGCCAGGGACTCAAATCCTGCAGTGCCAGACGTGTCCCCCTGCTTAAGCCAGTACATGTCCAGGCCCGTCTGAAGTTTGCTAGAGTGCATTTGGATGATCCAGAAGAGGATTGGGAGAATGTCATATGGTCAGATGAAACCAAAATAGAACTTTTTGGTTAAAAACTCAACTCGTCGTGTTTGGAGGACAAAGAATGCTGAGTTGCATCCAAATAACACCATACCTACTGTGAAGCATGGGGGTGGAAATATCATGCTTTGGGGCTGTTTTTCTGCAAAGGGACCAGGAAGACGGATCCGTGTAAAGGAAAGAATGAATGGGGTCATGTATCGTGAGATTACACAACCTCCTTCCATCAGCAAGGGCATTGAAGATGAAACGTGGCTGGGTCTTTCAGCATGACAATGATCCCAAACACACCGCCCGGGCAACGAAGGAGTGGCTTCGTAAGAAGCATTTCAAGGTCCTGGAGTGGCCTAGCCAGTCTCCAGATCTCAACCCCATAGAAAATCTTTGGAGGGAGTTGAAAGTCCGTGTTGCCCAGCGACAGCCCCAAAACATCACTGCTCTAGAGGAGATCTGCATGGAGGAATGGGCCAAAATACCAGCAACAGTGTGTGAAAACCTTGTGAAGACTTACAGAAAACGTTTGACCTGTGTCATTGCCAACAAAGGGTATATAACAAAGTATTGAGAAACTTTTGTTATTGACCAAATACTTATTTTCCACCATAATTTGCAAATAAATTCATTAAAAATCCTACAAAGTGATTTTCTGGATTTTTTTTTCTCATTTTGTCTGTCATAGTTGACGTGTACCTATGATGAAAATTACAGGCCTCTCATCTTTTTAAGTGGGAGAACTTGCACAATTGGTGGCTGACTAAATACTTCCCCCCCCCCCACTGTACAGCATAAATTATGAGTGAGCTATGTCAAGTATGTTTTAAAAATAAAAGGGAATAGTGTCTTGGTCGTGCAGTTGAATAAATAGTATAAAAATAGTGTATGTGTGTGTGCGTGCTTGTGTACTTGTGTTAATGTGTGTGTGTGTGCATGTGCGTGTATGTAAGGGATGGATGTGTGGAGAGTCAGTGGAAATTGTCTCTAAATCATGCATTCGGCCTCCTAAACACATTATCTGGTTAGTTACAGTAGGGATTCTGAACAATAATAGAGAAGTAAATGTATCTATTGCATTGATACGCAATTCTAATAAAAAGTCTATGCATCAAACAAATATGTTTTTTTGAACAAACACATTTGCTAATATTTTAGTACTACTAGCGTTCATGTATTGATAGGTTGGGTCAGGCTCCTGTCCGGTGTAAAAGGTTTGAATGGGTTCAAAGGGGCTTTGCAAAACCATTCCAAGGACAAATTAGGTTCGGCACAGTTTCTGGTTGCAGCTACAGCTGCTGTCTGCTATTAAAAGCCCAAAGGTCCCTTAGCAACAGTTAACTCCCTCTCAAACACATTCTTTAGATGCATTGAAGATAAGGTACGACTAGGCTAAAGCTTATGGTTTTTCTACGAAACATAACTGACAAGGTGGGAGACAACACTACAATGGTGAGGAGCGGGTCTAGAGCTTCAACTTCCTCTGTGTCCAAATCACTAAGGACGTGAAATGGTCCACACACACGCACAGTCATGGAGAAGGCGCTACAGCTCCTCTTCCCACTCAGGTTGAAAAGGTTAGGCTACATGGACTATCTGAGTTGAACCTTTTATTTTTTCGCCCCTGGTTTACATGAGCCGTTTTGCAGGTTTGACTGAATCCACTTGATTTATTAAACATTTTGTTGTGTTACAGCCTGAATTCAAAATTGATTAAATTGATTTTTTTCTCACCCATCTACACACAATGCCCCATTATGACAAAGTTAAAATATGTTTTTATACATTTTTGCAAATGTATTGAAAAGGAAATACAGAAAGATCTCATTTACATAAGTATTCACACCCCTGAGTCAATACTTTGTAGAAGCACCAAAAGTATGTGAACTCCCTTTCAAATTAGTGGATTCAGCTATTTCAGCCCCACCCGTTCCAGACAGGTGTAGAAAATCGAGCACACAGCCATGAAATCTTCATAGACAAACATTGGCAGTAGAATGGCCTTACTGAAGAGCTCAGTGACTTTAAACATGGCACCGTCATAGGATACCACCTTTCCAACAAGTCAGTTTGTCAAATTTCTGCCCTGCAAGAGCTGCCCCGGTAACTGTAAGGGCTGTTATTGTGAAGTGGAAACATCTAGGAGTAACAACGGTTCAGCCACGAAGTGGTAGGCCACACAAGCTTACAGAACGGGACGGCAGAGTGCTGAAGCGCGTAGCGCGTAAAAATGGTTTGTCCTCATTTTCAACACTCACTACTGAGTTCCAAACAGCCTCTGGAAGCAACGTCAGCACAAGAACTGTTCATCGGGAGCTTCATGAAATGGGTTTCCATGGCCGAGCAGTCACACACAAGCCTAAGATCACCATGACCAATGCCAAGCGTCGGCTGGAGTGGTGTAAAGCACGCCGCCATTGGACTCTGGAGCAGTGAAAACGCATTCTCTGGAGTGATGAATCACGCTTCACCATCTGGCAGTCCGACAGACGAATGTGGGCTTGGCGGATGCCAGGTATTTCTAGACGATTCTGTGCTCCTAACTTTGTGGCAACAGTGTGGGAAAGGCCCTTTCCTGTTTCAGCATGACAATGCCCCCGTTCAAAAAGCGAGGACCACACAGAAATGGTTTGTCGAGATTGGTGTTGAAGAACTTGACTGGCCTGCACAGAGCCCTGTCCTCAACCCCATCGAACAACTTTGGAACGCCGACTGCGAGCCAGGCCTAATTGCCCAACATCAGTGGCCGACCTCACTAATGCTCGTGGCTGAATGGAAGCAAGTCCCCACAGCAATGTTCCAACATCTAGTGGAAAGCCTTCCCAGAAGATTGGAGGCTGTTATAGCAGCAAAGGGGGGACCAACTCCATATTAATGCCCATGACTTTGGAATGAGATGTTCGAAGAGCAGGTGTCCACATACTTTTGGTCATGTAGTGTATATATATATATATATATATTTATTTATTTATGTATTATTTTTTGGAGGGTAGGGGGGATATTTTTTGGGTGGGGATAAAAAAAAACTCAATACACTTTAAAATGACTAAAACCAAATTGAAACTTTGTAGAAATGATAATGGACCTACATTCATAGATTTTCTTGCCTGTGTCCAGCTCGCTGATAATCACCGAAATGAAAGCTAAACATTTTTCAAAAACAATGGACAGATTGCTATTTTTGGCTAATTTTGATGGCGAAGAAATATAAGACATTGTTGGTGCTTGTTGAAGACTGAATGCGGCCCCCGGGCAAAATTAGTTTGACACCCCTGGACAAGGTCATTAATGGCAACCTAACCTAATGTAGCATGCGTAAAAGAATCCAGCTACCGGTAAGTTATTTGCCATCATTTGTCCATAGTAGGGTTTCCCAAACTCGGTTTTTGCCCTAGCACTACACAGCTGCTGATTCAAATAATCAAAGCTTGATGATGAGTTGGATCAGCTGTGTAGTGCTAGGGCAAAAACCAAAACGTGCACCCAGGGGGTCCCCAGGACCGACTTTGGGAAACCCTGGTCCATAGCGAAGTGATGGATCAGGTTTCACTTTGCTGTTTAGTTTAGTTTAGTTTTGAGGCAATATTACAATTCTGTAAATGCTTCAAATATTTAGATAAAGATTCTGGCATATGGGTCAGTCCTGGGAGGAATTATTTATTTTTGGAAGCAATAACATAACATGATAAGCTATTTTAAATTATCTGCCACTGTCTACATTGTAGACCATGATGCAAGTTTGCATTCGTTGTTTTACTGTTGATGAAACTCAAAATGTAATTCACAGTTATGTTCAAATGTTCAATAAGGCGCTGCACAGACTTGAGAAGAAGATTTGCAGAGATACAACACATTCAATAAAACATTGCAAATAAAACATTGCAAATAGTTATTAAAATCTTACCTTGGGCCATGATCGCGTTGATGTACAGCCGGGTAATAGTCTGTGGTAGGCTATTGAAAGTATTCTCAGTGACTGTCTACACTGCGCAGCTATTCTGACTGTGAACGAAATTCATATTTGTAGTGGTCATGCGCGTCACCAAAATTCCATCGATGTAGGCTCCTCTTGCCATATAGAGGCGGATCAAACATTTTGCAGAAGCTGACGGCATAATGTGTAACGTGGGATGGGAGGTCATCTGGTCGTGTTGGTTTTCTTCCGTCAAACCCCCGCGTGCGCGTGCTCACATGCATGCACACACACACTCTACTGACTAGTAGCGACATCGAGTCGACCGCTAGTTGCGCAATTTACTGCATACGTTTGTTATATGGAATAGGGAAGTCATTTTCATTTTGTCATCATGTCATGAATAAAATGTGCAATGTCAAAATGCAATTTACTTTTAGGAAGTATACTGAACAAAAATATAAACGCAACATGCACCAATTTCAACGATTTTACTGAATTACAGTTCATATAAGGAAATCAGTCAATTGAAATACATTCATTAGTCCCTAATATATGGATTTCACTTGACAGGGCAGGGGTGCAGGGGGCCTGGAAGGGCATGGTCCCACTCACTTGGGAGCCAGGCCGAGCCAATCAGAATGAGGTTTTCCCCACAAAAGGACTTATTACAGACAGAAATACTCCTCAGTTTCATCAGCTGTCCGGGTGGCTGTTCTCAGATGATCCCGCAGGTGAAGAAGCCGGATGTGGAGGTCGTGGGCTGGCGAGGTTACACGTGGACTGCAGTTGTGAGGCTGGTTGGACGTACTGTCAAATCCGCTAAAACGACGTTGGAGGCGGCTTATGGTAGAGAAAGGAACATTCAATTATCTGGGAACAGCTCTGGTGGACATTACTGCAGTCAGCATACCAATTGCGTGCTCCCTCAAAATGTATACATCTGTGGCATTGTGTGACAAAACTACACATTTAGGAGTGGCATTTTATTGTACCCAGCAACAGGTGCAGCTGTGTAATAATCATGTTGATTAGTCAGCTTCTTGATATGCTACACCGGTCAGGTGGATGGATTATATTGGCAAAGGAGAAATGCTCACTAAAAGGGATGTAAACAAATTTGGGCACAACATTTGAGAGAAATAAGCTTTTTGTGCGTATGGAAAATTACTGGGATCTTTTATTTCAGCTCATGATACATGGGACCAACACTTTACATGTTGCGTTTATATTTTTGTTCAGTATAGTTAAAAGTGCAAACCACCGCATTTAACCACGATTTCTTCCGTCAAACCCCCACGTGCGCGGGCTCACATGCATGCACAAGGACGTACGCACGCACTCACGCACTCACACACACACACATGCACACACACACTCTACTGACTAGTGGGTTCCTCGAGTCGACCTATAGTTGCACAATTTACTGCATACGTTTGTTACATGGAATAGAGAAGTCATTTTCATTTTGTCATCATGTCATGAATAAAATGTACAATGTCAAAATATTATTGACTTCTAGGAAATATACTGAACAAAAATATAAATGCAACATGCACCAATTTCAACGATTTTACTGAATTACAGTTCATATAAGGAAATCAGTAAATTGAAATACATTCATTAGTCCCTAATCTATGGATTTCACTTGACAGGGCAGGGGTGCAGCCATGGCTGGGCCTGGAAGGGCATGGTCCCACTCACTTGAGAGCCAGGCCGAGCCAATCAGAATGAGGTTTTCCCCACAAAAGGACTTATTACAGACAGAAATACTCCTCAGTTTCATCAGCTGTCCGGGTGGCTATTCTCAGATGATCCCGCAGGTGAAGAAGCCGGATGTGGAGGTCGTGGGCTGGCGAGGTTACACGTGGTCTGCGGTTGTGAGGCTGGTTGGACATACTGTCAAATCCGCTAAAACGACGTTGGAGGCGGCTTATGGTAGAGAAAGGAATATTCAATTATCTGGGAACAGCTCTGGTGGACATTACTGCAGTCAGCATACCAATTGCGTGCTCCCTCATAATGTATACATCTGTGGCATTGTGTGACAAAACTACACATATAGGAGTGGCCTTTTATTGTACCCAGCAACAGGTGCAGCTGTGTAATAATCATGCTGATTAGTCAGCTTCTTGATATGCTACACCTGTCAGGTGGATGGATTATATTGGCAAAGGAGAAATGCTCACTAAAAGGGATGTAAACAAATTTGGGCACAACATTTGAGATAAACTGTCACGGTTTCGGCCGAGGCTGCTCCTCCTCCTTGTTCGGGCAGGCTTCGGCGGTCGTCGTCCCCGGAGTACTAGCTGCCACCGTTCGATGTTTCATGTTTGTTTGGTTTTGTCTGTTTGTACACCTGTCCCTTGTTAGTGTTTGATTTTGTTTCCTATTTAGTTATCGTGTGTTGGGGCAGGTGTTATGTGTGATTGTTATGTCAGCTGTTGCTGTTGATGGGTTTTTCTCTCTCGTGTTGTTTGTGTCGAGAGTCCGCACTGCGTGCGCCTTTTCTTGTTTTACGCACTGTTGTGTGTGTGCGTAATTTTGTTCATGCCTCCCGGTTGGGTTGGCTATTCACCTGTTTGGAGTTACTATTTTGGATTACTAAAGTCTGTTGACGAACACCCTTGTTCCTGCGCTTGATTCCCTGCACCACATCCACACTCAGCGTTCTGACAGAAATAAGCTTTTTGTGCGTATGGAACATTACTGGGATCTTTTATTTCAGCTCATGATACATGGGGCCAACACTTTACATGTTGCGTTTATATTTTTGTTCAGTATAGTTAAAAGCGCAAACCACCGTATTTAACCACGGCAAGGTGACTGGGAATATGATTGAAACAGTCCAGTTATGCCCTCCGTAAGGCAATCAAACAGGCAAAACGTCAGTACAGAGACAAAGTGGAGTTAAAATTCAACGGCTCAGACACGAGACGTACAGTGCATTCGGAAAGTATTCAGACCCATTGACTTTTTCCACATTTTATAACGTTACAGCCTTATTCTAAAATTGATTAAATTGTCCCCCCCCCCCCAATCTACACACAATACCCCATAATGACAAAGCAAAAACTGGTTTTTAGACATTTTTGCACATTTATAAAATAAAGAAAACGGAAAATTCACATTTACATAAGTATTCAGACCCTTTACTCAGTACTTTGTTGAAGCAGCGATTACAGCCTCAAGTCTTCTTGGGTATGACGCTACAAGCTTGGCACACCTGTATTTGTGGAGTTTCTCCTATTATTCTCTGCAGATCCTTTCAAGCTCTGTCAAGTTGGATGGGGAACCTCACTGTACAGCTATTTTCAGGTCTCTCCAGAGATGTTCGATCTGGTTCAAGTCCGGGCTCTGGCTGGGCCACTCAAGGACATTCAGAGACTTGTCCCAAAGCCACTCCTGTGTTGTCTTGGCTGTGTGCTTAGGGTCGTTGTCCTGTTGGAAGGTAAACCTTCGTCCCAGACTGAGGTCCTTAGCGCTCTGGAGCAGGTTTTCATCAAGGACCTCTATGTACTTTGCTCCGTTCATCTTTCCCTCGATCCTGACTAGTCTCCCAGTCCCTGCTGCTGAAAAACATCCCCACAGCATGATGCTGCCACCCCCCATGCTTCACCGTAAGGAAGGTGCCAGGTTTCCTCCAAATGTGATGCTTGGCCTTCAGGCCAAAGAGATCAATCTTGGTTTCATCAGACCAGAGAATCTTGTTTTTCATGGTCTGAGTCCTTTAGGTGCCTTAAGGCAAACTCCAAGCAGGCTGTCATGTGCCTTTTACTGAGGAGTGGCTTCCGTTTGGCCACTATATTTGATTGTTGTCCTTCTGGAAGGTTCTCGCGTCTCCACAGAGGAACTCTGGAGCTCTGTCAGAGTGACCATCGGGTTCTTGGTCACCTCGCTGATCAAGGCCCTTCTCCCTCGATTGCTCAGTTTGGCCGGGTGGCCAGCTCTACGGACAATTCCTTCAACCTCATGGTTTGGTTTTTGCTCTGACATGCACTGTCAACTGTGGGACCTTATATAGACAGGTGTTTGCCTTTCCAAATCATGTCCAATCAATTGAATTTACCACAGGTGGACTCCAATCAAGTTGTAGAAACATCGCAAGGATGATGAATGGAAACAGGATGCACTTGAGCTCAATTTTGAGTCTCATAGCAAAGGGTCTGAATACTTATGTAAATAAGGTATTTCAGTTTGTATTTTTTTATACATTGGCAAAAAATGTCTAAACCTAATTTCACTTTGTCATTATGTGGTATTGTGTGTAGATTGATGAGGATTTTTTTAGTTAATCCATTTTACAATAAGACTGTAACATAACAAAATGTGGAAAATTCAAGGGGTCTGAATACTTTCCCAATGCACTGTATGTGGCAGGGACTCCAGACAATCATGGATTATAAAGGCAAAACCAGCCACATCGCGGACACCGACGTCTTGCTCCCAGACAAGCTACACACCTTCTTCGCCCGCTTTGAGGATAACACATTGCCGCCAACATAGGCCGCTCCCAAGGACTGTGAGCTCTTGTTCTCCGTGGCCGATGTGAGTAAGACATTTAAGCCTGTTAACCCTCGCAAGGCTGCCGGGCCAGACAGCATCCCTAGCTGCATCCTCTGAGCATGCGCAGACCAGCTGGTTGGAGTATTTACGGACATATTCAATCTCTCCCTATCCCAGTCTGCTGTCCCCACTAGCTTCAAGATGTCCACCATTGTTCCTGTACCCAAGAAAGCAAAGGTAATTTAACTAAATGACTATCGCCCCGTAGCACTCACTTTTGTCATCATGAAGTGATTTGAGAGGCTAGTTAAGGATCATATCACCTCCACCTTACCCAACACCCTAGACCTACTCCAATTCGCATACCACCCCAATAGATCCATGGATGATGCAATCACCATCGCACTGCACACTGCCCTATGCCATCTGGACAAGAGGAATACCTATGTAAGAATGCTGTTCATTGACTACAGCTCAGCCTTCAACACCATAGTA